TGTTTCCCAGTGAGGTAATACAGAGATAGATGAATTATTTGATTACTTTATTTTACAAAAGTACTAAAAAACTAAACATGTGCTACATTCTACAAAATATATTACAACTGACATTTGACAACCGAATCACTTAAGACATTGTGAGCCAGTGTTGCCAAGTACAAAATCCAATACTCCTCCTCGATTTGAAATGTTCGAACATGAAAATCGTAACTATTATAGTTAACAAAATGATATTACAATTCATATAACATTAAATTTTATTTCTTAGATTTATGAAAGTCTCCGGTACCTAAAGATTTAGTTAAAATATCAGCTAAATTTTGCTCAGTTGATATATAATCCATTACAACTTCTTTCTTAGAAATTAAGTCTTTAAAAAAATGATTTTTATATATATGTTTTTTGCTCTTTTCGAATTTTCATTACTGTTAGACATTAAAATTGTACTTTTATTGTCACAGTATAAAATTGTTTTGACAATTACATTAAAATTTCCCAGTATACCCTTGACATTGATTAAGTCTTGAGCTGTTTTTGCTGCTGCAATGTATTCAGCTTCAGCTGTTGATAATGCCACAAGTTTTGTTTCTTTGAAAACCATGATATTGGGTTATTACCATATAATATTATATACATCCACTCACACTTTTCCTATCTTTCTTATCTGTTGCCAATCGGCATCTGAATATCCATTGAGTGTTATCTGGCAATCTGTATTTTTATAATAAGTTAATCCCAGTTTCTTACTTCCTTGTAGATATCTAAAATTCTTTTTCCAGCATTCCATGTCTCTGTAGTAGGACAATCTAAAATCTACTCAAGTATGACACTGCATAACTGATGTCTGGCCTACTTGTTGTTGATAAATACATCAGTCCTCCAATTAATTGCCTGTAAGGAATATTAGTTAGAATTTCACTGTCCTCAATGTATTGAAATCCCTTTTCCATTGAGTCTTCTTTGGTTTACATTCCTTCATATTAAAATGATCCAAAAGTTTTTCTATAAATCTTTCTTGATCAATTTTAATAGTATCTTCTGCCCTAGTAATATTCATACCTAAAAAATGTTTAACTTCCTTTAAATCTTTTGCCTGAAAATTATCTTGTAATAATTTTATAACACATTGAACATCATTATCTTCTCCTATAATAATATATCATCTACATATATTAATATCCAAACCTTTTTGTTATTGTATAAACACAATCATACATAGATCTTTCAAAATTATTTTGACTAACAAATTCATTGAATGTATTATTCCATACCTTTGATGATTCTTTTAAGCCGTATAAAGCTCTATTCAATTTTAATACTCTTGAGTTTTTTATCGTAAGTCCTTCTGGTGCATAAATATAGACATCATTCTCAAGTAATCCATTTAAAAATGCAGTTGGAATATCCATTTGTCTGATTTTCCAATCATTTTGTAATGCTATTGATAAAAATAGTTAATTGTTGATGTTCTTGCTACTGGTGAGTAATTTGGTTCAAATTCACTCTCCTCCTTATTTTGAAAACCTTTGGCTACTATTCTGGCTTTTTTAGTTCCATCATCCTTTGTTCTAAAAAACCCAATTGTTGTTGAATAGCTTTTTTTAATAGCTTTTGGTTAGGTAATTACTTCTTCTGCCCATGTACTTAGCTTTTCATGTGAAAGTAGCTCTTTTCTTATGGATTCTACCCATTCAGGATCTTTTATGGCATCTTCATAGCATAAAGGATCATTTTCTTCTGTTGATATTAAACAATAAGCTGTATAAGTCTCATATTCACTTAAATATTTGGGTGCTTTTATTTTTCTTCCTGTTTTTGTTGTTTCTATCTTTGGCATGCATTCTTCATAATTTTCTGAACTTATATTCTCCGTTTCATCTTCATTAGCTTCATTTAAATCATCATCTTGAATTTCTATCTCTATATCATTTATTCCCCTTGCAGTTCATTTTCATACTGTACTTCTATTGTTTTTTATTTGTATCATCCATCATATTGGTCTTAGTGATTTCATCATAATTAGTTAAAGTTTCATCAAATCTCACATCTCTTGAACAAAAAATTTCATTAGTTTCATAATTCCACAATCTATATCCAGCTCCTGTATATCCTATCATTATGCAAGGTTGTGCCCTTCTTTCTAATTTGCTTTGTTTTGGTAAGACTATTGCCCATGCCTTACTTCCAAAATACTTTCATTTTTGATAAATCATTTTTATGGTACCATCTTGTGGCAGGTGTTTCTCCCGTTATTTGCTTTAGTAGGTGTTCTATTTAATTCATATGCTGAGCACAGAATTGCTTCCCCCCATAACTCTCTTGGTAGATTAGTTTCAGCAAATTTGGTTCTTACTTTGTCTAATAAGCTTCTGTTCATTCTCTCTGAAATCCCATTTTCTTGTGGAGTATATGGCATTGTATATTCCACTTTAATACCTTTATTTTTACAAAAATCTCTAAATGTATTAGATGTAATTCACCACCATTATCAACTCTAATTCTTTGCGTTTTTAGATTATGCTGAGTTTAATTAACTTAATAAACTGAATAATATTTTGATCTGCTTCATGTTTATTTTTTAATAATCTTACTACTAAAAAATGTGAGTAATCATCTATTAATACTTGAAAGTATTTATAACCTTCAGATGTTGGTGTAGATATTGGACCTGAAATATCTGAGTGTATCAACTGACCAATTTTTGTTGTGTATTTAAAACATTTATAAAATGGTTTACGAGTACTTTTACCTTCCATACAATCTTTACAAATTTCTGAACTATAAGGTAGTCCTAATATTTTTAAATTGTGCCTATTTATGTGCCCTAATCTCCTATGCCATAAATTATCATCTATAGTCTCATTTACATAACTTACTATATGGTTTGTCTCATTACAATAATTATTTTTATTATTAACAAAATCTACCTTTAAACAAAATAAATTATTCAACATTTCACACTGAAATTTTGATCCATTTTTATTTATTATAGCTTGTCTTTTACCATTAATATCATTAACAAATGTTACTTTAAAACCTTTTTCTAATAATTTAGATACAGAAATGAGGTTATGTGATATACCCTTTAACAATAAGTGCTTCTATTTTAATATCTCGTCCTTGATATGTAGCTTTTACTGTACCTACCTTATTTGCTATCAATACCTCACCATTCTTTGCAGTTCCAATTTTCACTGTGTTGATTTGTTTTACATCTACCATATATTCAACCATTTCTTCCATTACCATGTGTTGTGTACATCCAGAATCCAGAATGAATGTCTGTACATTGAGAGTAGATATGTTACACGTAGTTACACAACACTTAATGCAATGAAGGCTAATTCATTTGCTTGATTCGCCTGTGATTGCTTACCACCTTGATTTCGTCTACTATGATTTGTACCACTTTGTATATAAGTACTTCTTGAATGCCCTTGAAAGTTGCCTCTTGGATTGTGACCTCTATTCCCACTTTTGAATTGGCGACACTCTGATATCTTATGTCCTGGTTTGTGACATTTATAACAAATTATTGGCTGATTGACTTGAAATGACATTTCATTAATATTAGCTGGTTTACCTTGTTTTGATTTAAGTTTCATTTCTTCATCTAATAGTCTGGATTTACAAAGTCCATTTTAATAGTTGTATTCATTGTTTCTATAGCTGTGATGACTGATTCATACTCTTCATTTAATGATAGTAATAAATGGCATACTTTGTCTTCTTCTTCTAGTTTTGAACCAGCATTTTCTAAATCTCTTATAAGGGTATCAAACAACAGAAAATGATCTTCTAATTTTTCATTTCTTTTCAGCTTCAATGTTAACAATTTACGTTTCAATGTTAATTTTGTAAACACACTTTTTCTCTCAAATATATTCTCTAGGGCTTTAACCATTTCTTTTGTGGTATTTGCATCTTAACTAAATCCAAGTGTTTGTCTGTTAAACATTGTACTATGATACTTTTACCTTTGGAATCTTTTAGTTTAAACTCTGCTTTCTCTTTTGGTTCACTGTAGTCTTGCTCAGTTTTCTCCAATACATCTAATAATTGTCTTTCTTCCAGTAGTATGGTTACTCTGAATTTCCAATTGTTAAAAATTTGTAGCATTTGTCAGCTGAGGAACATTGACTATTGCATTAGCCATTTTATATTTCACACTTTCTTTTATGCTTCTTTATTTTTTGTCTGTCTGGTTCCCATAACCTATTAGAATTTGTTGTTTCCCAGTGAGGTAATACAGAGATAGCAGTGAATTATTTGATTACTTTATTTTACAAAAGTACTAAAAACTAAACATGTGCTACATTCTACAAAATACAAAATATATTTTACACAACTGACATATGACAACCGGAATCACTTAAGACATTGTGAGCCAGTGTTGCCAAGTACAAAATTCCAATATTATGTAGTCAGAGACGACATAAAATAGCTGACATACGCACATCGTATTATTTTAAGTTGCAATTAGTAATTAGATATAGCATTCCAAGCGGTCAATATTTTCTACTGATTTATATGATTCATGGCATATCGTATTCTCACCGAAAAACAAATAAACTGTCGTTACTAATAATTAAAATAAGATAAAATAAAATTACTTTTTTGTAAATACTATTTATCTAATTAAAATCATTTTCCCTACTTTTCATCTCTTGTTTCGAATGGGCACTTTTGGTCAATTACGTTAAAAAACATTAATTTAATCTATATGTTGGAAACGAAAATACAAATTATACAACCCTAAATTGTGCTTGTGTGTCGTGGCAACGCCGCGTTGTTATCGTCCATAAGAAATACATGGCCCTATCTTCGCAATGTTATTTTCTAAAGTGGAACGTAGTATAGCCAGAAACTGATTAAGTTTTCTATTTTATAGTACAGGTTGGCTGCGTATGATCGAAATAATAATTTTCGACATGACATGAGGATTTAAAGTCAAAAACAAATTAATATCATTTTTATTGAGCGCAAATTAACATCGAAATGACCAAAATGTATGTAAATAAATATGTAAAGCACTTACATACTATGTTAGACATTTAAAACTGTTATGCCCCTATAATTTTTAGAGAGTTTGTTTGTCTCCCCCCTTTGTACATAGGAAGTATGATTCTTACTTTCCAATCTTCTAGTTTACATATGTGGTCGATTAGTTTATGGATACGCCTCCATAGCACATGTTCACCATTCTTTATCAGTTCTGCAGTTATTCCATATGTGCCAGTGTTTTGTTTATTTTTTTAGATGTTTTATTACGTTTATCGTTTCTGCCAATATTGGTTGTTCAACTAGTTGTTCTGCTATGTGGTGAATTGTTTTCTTCATCCTCGTTTTGTTCTTTTTCTGGGTTTAACAGCTCTTAAAAATGCTCCTTCCACCTTTTCATTATTTCCTCTTTCTCGGTGATAATTGCTCCATTTTTGTCCTTACAAACTGTTAATTTTGTCATGTATCCTTGGGTGTATTCCTTGGTGTCCTTGTAAAGTGTTCTAGTCTCTCTTATAATCTCTTATTATAATCTGTAATTTGTTGTATTTTTCTATTCAACATTTCTCTCTTTTTATTTCTACATATTTTCTTTGCATCTTTTCCGAGCTTTCCATATGCCCTTTCATTCAATCGGGAATCCCTTTGAAGACATTTCTGTCTAGCTATATTTTTGCTATTTATTACTTGTTGCCAATCTTGGTCAAAACATTCCTCGTTTCTTTTGCTTGAGGTTTCACCTAATGTTTCCTTTGCCATATTTGTAATTGTCGTTTGGATGATATTCCATTCTTCTTCAATGTTGTTTTGTTCTCTTTCATTTAATATTACGTTTATTTTCAGCTGGTACTCATTCTTCTTTTTAGGATTTTTAAACATATATGTGTTCCATTTTCTTTGTTTAGCGTCTTTCTCTTTTCTTACATTGATATTCTTTGTTTATCTTCGATATAACCAAGAAATGATCCGAATCACAATTTGCGCCTCTATAAGTTCTAACATCCGTTACAGAGGTTGCCCTGTGGTAAATTTGATTAAATTTATTAGTACCAGGTATCATCCAGGTTCCTTTACGAATATTTTTCTGATGGGAACACATACTAACAACTCTTAGTTTGTTTGCCATTACCAACTGTTCCACTCTTATACCGTTGTTACTGGTAATATCATGCAAACTATGCTTACCAAGGATTCTGCATATATTGGCTCTTTTCCCATTTTCCCAGCTACACGTTCACATGGTTTGAACAATGTTATTCATTATAAGGAATTAAAGAAAAAAAGTTTTACAGTTTCTTTATTTAAAAAAATTTATTAAAAAAATTTAAAAAGCAAGTGTTACTTGTGTTTGTTAATATTAGGCATCCAAAACTAAAAGTTAAACAAACACTGGGTGGAATCAATAGAGTGGAGATCTAGCAAAGATGAGGGAATAAACATTATAGCAAAATATCAACATTATTTTTGTGATATTAGAATATCTCTAAGGATACTTTCAATAATATAAAATATTTTATAAATATACCATATCCATTAACAAATTCACTCAACTTTAATCAATACCCAACTCGGCTGCTTCTTCTGGCGTTAATTCTGGAATATCATTTTTGAGTCTTGTTTCAGATTTGGCAGATTCCCTCAATATGCCATACTCTTCTATATCTAAATCATCGTCGTCATCATAATTACTGCTCCTAATTGTTTTGAAAATTTTCTTTTTCTCTTCAGTATGATCTGGAGGTATTGATAGGTCTCCTTCATACTTTATAACACCATTTTGTGCTATTCTCCATTCAAGTATGTCTGTTGTAAATTCGTCTGTATTGCCCAACTGGCTGAAACCTACAATTTTATCTACCATAACGCCTGTAAAGAAGTTCTAATTAGTATTAACACTCATAATGTTCAATAATATGGAAAGATTATTATTATTTTTCAAGTACAATCCATTAAAACTTTCTACTTAGGAAGTAAAAATATATCAACAAACTGGACAACTTGGGAGTTGATTCAAGATGGGGGAAAGTAAAAATTGTGCCGTCACCTCTCTCTGTAGTAAAAGAGGTAGATTTTAGAAGAGAATACATTTAAATATTGTCAAATTAAGCCTAATAAAACACTCGTTTGTATAGTAGATATGTGGAAATAGTTATCACATCTCATGTGCTGTGAAAAACAAAGTGAAATTCTTCAAGATCGAGGATTCACGTGTAATTTATTGCCAAAATAGTGATGGACAACCCATCGAATCATTTAATGCCATAGCGATAGAAAATCAGTGGTTAAAAAGGCTGTTAGCTGAAAAAGATGACAAGTACAATTTATTATTAAATAACAATAATCTATTAAAATTAAATAATGAACATTTGCTAGAAAAATTAAATTGATCAGAAATCAGAAATATCCAGAATCAGAATCTCACAAAAACCCAACATGAGTGATAATGAGGGTTTAATAAAAACTCAAGGTAATGAAGATAAGGGGGCCATTATCCAGTTAACGAACTCTAAATACAAAACAAATAATAAAACTGACTCAAATAAAAATTTTAATGATAAAAACACCAAACACGTTGAAAGGAATTCCAATATACAGGGCATTTTAAAAATTACTACAAACGAATTAAATACACAATTAATGTTATTCAAACCAAAAAAACATGTGCCTACATTACAAATTTGACTGATGAGAATGAGGAAAGCACAAAAATGAATCATAATCATATCACAACAGGGAGTTCAAAAAATAAAAAGAATGATGAAGGATATCAGATTGTGACAAAAAGAAGCAAGAAAATAATGGGAACTGGAATCGGTGATAAGGATTTCCATGGAAAATCCGAAAAACCAGACAAAACATTGTGGCTATTCATCTCAAAAGTTCTGGATAGGGTATATGTGGACCACATCAGGAGTTTCATAATAACTAAGACAAACTTTGAGGACTTACAAGTAAAATTGTTACCAACTGACCATAAAAGAAGGGATAATCAATGTTTATGATAGATGTACTACGTGACTTAGGGAAGGAATTTATAATCCTGCTTTTTGGCGGAAAAAATGGCATTGAATGATTTAAATTTAGATTAGGAAGAAGATTTTTAGATCGAGAGCATCACAATACAGGTCTGTCAACTATAGAAGATAGACCAGACTGTTTTTAAGTCAAGTAAATCCAAGAGAATCGGTACTTTTATCATCACCAAACACTTGTTTAAAAATATTGCAACTAAATGCTCAATCTTTGACAAATAAGTTACTCAAACTTGAAGTCTTAACATTGCAAGAAACACCTGATATAATTTGTCTATCAGAACATTGGTGTACTGAAGAAAACATCCAATTTATGACCCTGAATGGATACAAACAGTAACTCTTATTTAAAATTGCCTAAATAAAATGGGTAAAACATCATTTACAAAATTGGACTACATATTGACAAATATCGAACCACATGTTTATAAATCAAATGTTTTCGAGGGGCACTTCAGTGATCATAAAGTATTTTCACTTAGTGTAAATTTGCAAGCCAATAAAGTATTGAAAAAAAAACCCATCAGTTACAGGGATAGGATGAAAATATGTTGATGTTTAAAGCAGGGATTTCTTCTACAGTTTTTGATGAAGTTTATTCACAATTGAATGCTGAATATGCCACAAATTCATTTGTTAGGATTTTAGATTACAATCTAAATTTATATTGTCCAATAAAAACACGGTATAAAGCACACAAAATAAATAAGGCTACATGGGTAACAAATGAGGTAATACGCTAATAAAAAACTAAAAAATCTACACTGGATAGCAAAAAATATAGGGAGTCTCGAGTCTCAAGATAACTAAAAACAGGCAAAAAAAGAATATAATTCTCTATTACTAAATACTAAAAAAACATTCATAGTTTTTCATTCATTAATCAATCTTACAGTATACCAAAACAATTTGAAATTTAGTAAACAGTGAGACCCGTAGGCAAAAGAGAATACAATCTTTAAACTCATTTTGGCCCAATTGTTGCCTTCTTGGACTACACAAAAATGTGTAACAAAACATTTTCTTTTTACCTGTAACTCCAATTAAAATAAAAAATACAATTGATCAACAAAAAAATAAGAGTGAAACAACCAGCCAATTTCCATTCATATTTAAAATAGCAAAAAAGTTATTCATGCAGCTTGTTTCAGCGTATTTATGATTAATTAGATAGTAGAAACCACATGGCAGGACTATTTTTTGATCTATCACTAGCTTTTGACTGCTTAGACATAACATTTATTTGCAATAAATTATATAACGTTGGTTTTAGAGGGATATTTCTAGAATGGGTAATAAATTTCTTAATTCATAGGTGGTTTAAATGAAAGAATCATGTTCAGAACCATACATGACAAATAAAGGAGTACCACAGGAATCCATGCTGGGACCATTATTCCTAATTTTTATTAACGACCTACCAGATCACATAAGAGCACTTATATCAATATTTGCTGATGATACCTGGTTAATAGTACCTGACTAATATTAAACATTGACAAGACGGAAATTATTATTTATTTTCATTGATACAACTCATCTGCCTATGACTATATCTTAACCATCCAAAATAGAAACAATATGATATCTTCCACTCACTCTACAAAGTTTTTTGGTGTGTCTATTGATTGTAATCTAAAATGGTCAGAGCAAGTGAATTTGGTGAACATGAAATTAATAAAGCTTTTTATGCTACATCTAGAGTTAACAACACACTACCCATCTTGACATTAATGAACGTTTATTATAGCCTTGGTTACAGCCACATGTGCTATAATGTAATTTTTGGGGAACTCAGTAGATAGTACCAAAGTGTTCATTACCCAAAAAAAAATTATCTGTAAAATTTTTAATTTGGATTATCAACAATCTTGTAAACCAATTTTTATTAAACATCAAATTTTAACTTTCTACTGCCTGTATATCTACAAATGTTTACTTTAAGTAAAAAGAGAAAAAATGAATACATTTCCAGTAAATTTAGACAATGACTATTACAATACAAAAAGTGCTGAATCTTTACGAGTTCTTAAACACATAACATCCAAATTTCAAAATTGCGTCAGATATAATGGGACTGATCTTATTCAATCATTTACCAAAAACGGAGAAAGATATCACTTTCCTCTAAATTTAAAAAAAGATGTTAAAAATTTATTCTTAAGGAAAGTATGACTAAGACTAATAGGTACGACAATAAAATATTTATTAAAGCATAAATACAACAGATATACTTACCATTTTGAATAAGAACAATGGTAGGTAATGTTTTTACTTTCAGTTTTTCTACTAAAAACGGACATTTTTCTGCATTTAATTTAGTAAACCTGGTTTCAATGTGTTTGGGAGCAAGAATCTTTAGATGTTTGTCTACAATTTGGCATCTAAGGGTTGAGTCTCTATAAAAATGTATGATAACATTTTCCGACTTCTTGATGATGTCAAAAAACATTTTCTCCTCTGCCAATTCTTCGTATTTTCCATGATCACGACTTAACCATATCTTTTTCTGTTCTTCAAATTTCTTCAGTTCTTTTATTCTATTTAATTTTAACTGTTCCAGGTCATTGGTATCCAAATTGTCTATTTGGTCGATTACAGCATCAACTTGCTTTTCGATAGCTTGTGTTACTCTCAATAGATTATTTTCAACGGCATCCATTTTTTTTAGTGATTTAGTACCGATTTACTTTAAATTTACTTATTTTAGAAGGTAAATTTAGAGCGGCTGCTTTTGGTTATTATTTACTTTATTGATGCATGGATACAAAGAGGTTAAAAGATGTCAATGTCATTTGTCACTTATTATTTACTGCCACGAACCAGATTATACAAAACACTTGCTAGTGTTAAGTTGGCTGCATATATAAATATATAGCAAATAGGATCAGATCAGGGTCGCTATTCTCGACATCACTCTGATCACTCACATTAGCACGTATACGCACGATGCGAAGGTTTGATTTGCGAACGTTTTCTAAAAATGGTATTCTTGACCACCGTCCGCAAAAATATGCGACTGTTCGCATTGTTGACGTCTAAATACATTTAGCAACACTGTAATGTCTAAAACGCCTGTCTTCACTGCTGTCGGAATAAGGTTATTTTGTGCTTTGTGTTTATTTACAGTTTACAGCTTGTTTACATTTCATTTGTATTTTGAAAATGGAAATGCAAACCATTAAAGTAAAAAGATCAACAAATGCCTCAGATGAACAAAAAAAATTATTGCTAGAGTTTATGAAAAAAAATCCAACTTGCTGGCTGCAAAATTTTCCAACACATTTTCGCAAAACGATGCCCAGAATAAATGCAAGAGATTGCAAATGTATTAAATAGTTGTGGTGATGGGGTCAATAAAAACTGGCGAGCTTGGCGAAAGGTAATAAATAAAACATATCTTATCATTGCAAATGTAACATTAATTATGTTAATTTTATCGTAGACATGGCAAGACATACGAAGCAGGACAAAAGCCAAAAATGGGCAATTAAAAAAAACATGCGCAAGGTACAGGGGTGGACCACCCATAGAAAAGACAAACCCCCTTGAACAAGAAGTGCTAGAAACAATCACAGTAATATCACTGGCTGGACAACCGGACATTGCGTAATCAGAAGCAAATTTTTGTTTTAATGAAGAAGAAAACTTGACCGATCACCAACTTGAACCAGATGCAGTAGATACGACTGATACGATAGAAGAATTGGAACAACAACAACCAACAGTTGCTCCAATAAAACTGGAAAAAAGCCCAATTAAAAATAAACCAAAAAAAACCAAGAAAAAAATTAGAATACACTTCAGAGGCAGCAGAAAATTATCAACTTTCTTTAAATGAAAAAAATAAAATAAAAAAAAATTATTATGAAAAAAAAAAGTCATTGCTTGAGAGGTTGGTAGTTGCAAAAGAAAGAAGCACAGTTGCAAAAGAAAGAAGTGCAGTTGCCAATGAACGCATTGTAGCTGTATTAGAAGAAATGTCTAATAAACTTGATGAGTTTTTTTAAAAGATTTTATTTGTATTTTTTTATAAGTTTGTTTATTGGAGCAATATAAAAAGTTTGATTGTTTACTTATAGTTTTCTTTTACAATATTCTAATACAATCATTATTTAGTAATAATCCTCAATAGGTTTTGATTTAGGATAATGAAAAATATGACACAAGGCAATTAGAGATATCTATACTTAAAAAAAATAAAAATTCTATGAAGCTACAACTTTATATTTAGGTAAATAACATGTTTTTGCAATAAAAATGAGTAGTGGAAACAAACTTTTATAAAGAATAACATTTGATAAATACCAATTTTCTTTCTTGTGCAGTTCATATGGAAATACACTGTACTCAAATAAAGTAAAAAGGGGATAAGTAAAAACTGAGTATATTTTACTAATGTATTTAATTATTGGTGAAAAAAATGTTAATTAAATTTTGCCTTATCCTTCTCCTTGCAGCAAGTTCAGGATTGACACATCTTGCTGCATTTTGTAAATTGTCATTTTGTGGCTGGTTCAGTTCGTTATAAATTTTGTCCTAAATCAATGTTTTCTTCATCAATAGGCATCTCAGGAATATTGTATTCGATGCACATATTATGTAGCACTATGCAGGCATTTATTATTCTGCTAGCGATTGCAGGTTTGTAATGCAGTACTCTGTGTTTTAATAAACCACCTGAAATCGCATTTTCAAGATACCATTACACCTTTCTATTGTGTTTCTTGTTTGTTTGTGGGCTATATTGTAATTATATCCAGGATCGTTTACAGCAGGTTCTTCCTCTAAGGAGTCAAGAGTCAGGGCCTTAATGGATATCCACTGTCTCCTAATAAATAATAATATCGTATAAGATACGATAAGAGCAAATAATATGATCAGAAATTAAGTATTTTAATAAAATATTTTGTAATCTATCACAAACTATATACAGTGCTTAAAAAGTACAGTCATTAAGGATAACTTTGATCCACTTTTTAAATATATTTATATTTTTATTAATTAAATTTCTTGATTTATTTTTACAACTGACCTGACTTTACACTGACTGATGGTTTTACTTTTTTTTATTTTTTTGAAACTTCTGTTGAAAAATTGGATTATACTGTTTAACGTTCTATTATATCCAAACTTTTTACGCCCATCACTTGAAAGAGTTTTTTTTTCTGTAATCCTTGATTTTTTTCACCTTTCTGTGTCCAGTAATAATCGAGAAAAGCGTGTTCCAACTTTGAAGACAATTGTTAAAAAATACTAAAATCTAATAGTGAAACGTGTTACTTATAATTGGCGATTAGTTTAACCGTTATTGCCTTCGTGACGTCAAATCTCATGAACGTGCGGTAGTTAGCTCGTGTTAAAACTAATTTGAATGGAGAATAATGCATTTGTTGTCATTAAACTACCCGTCGTTCGGCGCCACTGTGTAAAGATCATCGAGCAAAAAGACAATAGAGGGAATGTAAAGTTAGTGGGGCAAACATATTGTTAGACAGGAAGTGCGATCTTTAGAGGCCACTTTAAACAAGGAAAGAGAGTCTCTCTCCTTGTTTGACATCAAATTTAGTTGGGTTATGTTATTGTTTGTCCCAAATGTCACATGAAATCTTATTTATATTGAAGTTTTTTAACAATTGTGTCGCATTTTAGACTATTATCATTAATAATTACTTAAAACTGTCTCGTCTAAGACACATTTTGAAAAATATTATATAGCTACTGTTGATAAGTGTCGGAAAATTTAAATTTCGCGCATTCGCATTTCCGGATATGTCCGCCATCGGAGGCCACTTTTTTGGTCTCCTTTTCATAAGGATTAGATTCCCTCTTTTGTTCTTATTGCTCGATGGTAAAGATGCTCTGGCGTAAGCAGTGTAGAAAAGCAAGTGATGTAAGATAATATAAATTATCAGGCCGGCCAGTTTTTGCTGCAATTCCGGGTTATTTTAATGAAACTTGAAGCTCTGATTTAGTTTTATTAAAATACCATGCATACTTACTTTTTCGATAAAATTGCTATATAACTTTGAGTTATTGTTTACATATGTAGCACTTTATAGACCGTATAAAAACTATGGTGGACACAATACAACCTATCAGACGCCTTCAAACTAAACGGAAATATCAATGAGACATCTATTGCAATTTACCTAAATCTAAATACTACTTATATAACGTACACTAATATCAAAAAAAGTAAATGGTGCAAAGTTAGACACTGTGGATCAAAGTTACCCCGAATGACTGTAGGTGTTTTCTTTCATTTTACCACCTAAGATTCGACTTGCTTAGATTTTTATTAATAACAGGTTGTATCGGTTGTATCACCTAGACAATGATACAATAACCAAGGGATAATGAATTAAAAACTTTTATGTGTAAAAATAATTTATTTTAAAACCAGTACATTTATAAAATACAAAACAAAACAATGAAGGAAAAGACGTAATGTATAAAAAATTACAATGTTCGCACACCTGGGAGGGGAGCCTCCTCAGTTACCAGTGATACATTGCTGTCTATTTGGATTACTTCTTTCTTGAAATTCTTTTTTAATTGATTCAATACAAACTGTACTACCGCATTGATAATTCCTAAAACAAAAAGGAAAAATATACAGTAAATAATAGAAAGTTGGTAGCACTGTAAACGCAGATTATACAGGGTGCATTTTTTGGTGTAAATTGTAGAAATTAGTATTCTGACTCAAAGATCATGTTATTGTTAACACGAAAAATGTTCAGACAGTTTTTATATCCACAGTAATTACTGTTGTTCAATCACAAATTAACCCCTTAATTTGTAATCTCACATTATTCTTAACTTCTTAATCTTTTATAGTTTCACCGTGTATAAGTTTGCATTATATATATTGCAAAACCATATCGTATGATAATTTAATATTAGTTCATTTACCTACAACTAAATAAATTGCCGAATAATAATATTTTCTAATTGCACTTCCTAAGTGTCGCAATTAAGGCGTAGATTAAATTGTATTATAAGCAAAAGCTAGGTGGTGTAAATGAACGAAGCAATGACCTAAGGTGCTTATGTATCTATTATGTGTGAGATTATAAATTGGGGATTTGAGTTCAAATGAACACAGTCTATATTGAGTAGTTACCGAACGAACACCATATTGTGTAATTACGAGTTGCTGTCAATAAATAATCACCTTTACTCCACAACTTCAACATTTATTAAACCTACCAGCATCGATCGACGAGAAGCGGACAAAGGGGCATACGAACCGAACCGAACTTCACTACTAAGTTCGATATTTTTCCACTGTACCCGTAATTATATATCTATATATATATATATATATATATATATATATATATATAGATAATAATATATATATATATATAAATTATGAATTTTGAGGATGCAGTCAGTTTATTTGGCCCACATGACAAAGAAAACTCTTTGACTTACTGTCAAGCTTTCGAATTTTATTTAATTCTTTTTCAAGACATCTATAAAAAGAAATATAAATTAACTAGTTAAAATTGTTAATATTGTCTTACTTACTAGTCGTGAGATTACAGTTGTTACTATTATTATACTTTACAAAACAAACCATTATAAATATATTAAAAAAATTTTTATTAAAAATAACTATATTGTCACTATATATGTCAGTGTCATGGTTTGATTAATGGACATATATGAATGAAAATACAGTTACTTTATGTGGAAAGCAAAACCAGTAACAATAGTTTTTATTATAATTTATTTAATTGTCTATAAAAAATATAAA